CTAACTGAAACAGATTAGATGAGGGAGAGAGAGAGAGATGGCCCTGGAAATAGATGTAGCTCTCACTCTCTCCCAGATAACACATGAATCATGAGGGCGGACTGCAGACCAGATCTGGGGCCTAAGGGACACCGACATTTTGTGGAGGAAAACAGACAAGAACCCAAGACAACAGCACACAGAGGGAGGCTGAGGCGGGCGGGAGGAGGAGGGAAGCCAGGGTACTGCAAGCCACCAAGTCGGGGGGCTCCGTCTCTGGGCCCACCGCAGTCAGTGCTGGCCAGAAGTCAGATGGGGATGACTGACTCAGCAGCTGGGCCAGGGAGCTTAGAATGGAGAGCATCACGGAGAGGCTCCTGCCCAAGCATGGTGAGATCAAGAGGGAGAGATGACAGGACAGAAGGGGGGACCGAAGAGTGGATTAAGGAGGGCGAGAGGGAGCAAGCCCCCTGGGATCCTAAGTAGGGCCCTCTTTCTCCTGAGCGTGCTGAGGGGCTGGCAGACTCTTCTTGGTCTCCCTTCTCCCCTGGGCGCAGGTTCGGCCTTGGGCCACGCCGCCTCTCCTTGGGAAAGCACAGGCTGCGTGACTTCTCTGCAGTCAGCTTCTGTGGCCTCCACGTGGCCGTGCCCCAGGCAGCAGGCCGGCTGAGGTTGGCACAGTATGGCCACACCAGCTCTGTCCCTGTGTGAGTGGACACTGGTGGCCACGGGCAGCACAGGGCCTCAGCCTGGTGCTGGGAAGGGTGTGGGCGCACCTGGGAATGTGGGGCCGCGGCAGGGGCTCAGGGAGCTCTGCGGCACCAGGGAAAAGCCCAAGCCCAACAGCAGGATCCAAAAAGTGGGTCACAGCGAGAGCAGGGAGGCGCTCGCAGCCTTCTTCAGAGAAGGGGGCCAGAAAGACCGTTTGCTGCCCTTGTCTGCCTCTGGTGGCCCAGGGCCCCAGCACTCGGCCTCCCTGCAGATCCTCCCAGACTTGGCTCGGCCTCAGGCAGTGCTTTGGTTTCACGTCTCCCCCTCAGAAAGTACCACACTCGGCAGCTTCCGGGTGCACGTGCCTTCAGGAGACACCGACCCAGGCAGAGCTGGCAGCAGGCGGTCCGGTGCACGAAGGGGAGCGTGACTTTGAGTTCTACGCCCGCTTAAACCTGTAGCATGTGTTAAGCACCTAACTGCAGCAGCCCGAGGCAGGTGCCAGAGCAGACCAGAGCTCATAAATATGTGGCCCAGACACAGGCCAGCAAAGCAGGGAGCCCACAGAAGTGGACCCAACAAAAGGCATCAACAAATGTGGCAGATCAGAAAAGGACCGGGGACAAGAGAAAGGGACCTCTTGGTTTGAAGATGACAACCATTGTCAACACCTGATGTTTTTCTTGGTACTAAAAATTTGCAGCCAGCATGATATTTTTTATCTGCAGACTAACACATATTTGCAATATAAATCTGCCACTTAACTCTAAGATATAGGTATGGATTTGGAGAGGGAAACAAAGTATATTTAAAAAGTAAAGACCATCTGGCCTCCTATTGGAAAAAAAAATGCTGATTGTAGGCATTTTGTGAAAGGTTCTCAACAGATGAGCCATCAGAAGGCCTGTCCAGAGCCTTCCCATAGGGGAAGGCTGAGCTATGATCGAGAAGGTCTTTTACCTCCTTGTACTAAATAGTTCCAATGATACGATGCAAGTATATTCATTTCTTGTCACATGCTTTTGCTTGTCAAACCCTAGGCAGGGGCATCATGAGTGCAAAGCCAGCCTCAGCAACTTAGCAAGGCCCTAAGCAACTTAGCAGGACCGTATCTCTAAGTAAAATATAGAAAGGGCTGGGGAAGTGGCTCAGTGGTTTAACACCCTGGGGTTCAATCTCCAGTACCCCCCCCCAAAAAAAAAGAAAAGAAAAGAAAAAAGGGTTTTCTTTTAGCTCCATGCCACCACAAAACATCCAATTTTATCAACCTCCCTCCTTCAGAAACTTCCAGAAACGTGTTAGAAGTATCTTGGAGCCACTCATTTCTCTCAGCTTCCTCACCCAAGAATCCTCTTGGAGGTTTTCTGACCAGAAATTTCAAGTCAGTTTGAGCTCTTCCAGTTAAAGAGAGCTCAGTGCCTCAGCAGAGAGACCATTTTATTCCAACACATCTCTTCTGGCAAGAAAGCGCTTCTTTATGTTGTGCCAATATTTACCTATTTGTTTTCACTCTTACCTTCTGTTTCTACACTTAAAAAAAAAAAAAAAAAGCCACCGTCATTAGCACCCAGCAGCTCCTTAGATACTGAGGCATCTGCAGGTAGCCGCCCCTCTCTTCCTCCAGTTACTGCGCGTCCTCAGCCATTTCTGTTATCCACATGACAGTCTCCAGATGTCTTGCTAACCCAGTATTTCACGTTTCAAGTAATCTTTGTCTAGATTAGAGAAGAATTTTCTTACTTCCCTGGCAAAGCTTTTCCGGTTACCTCTGGAATGTTTTAGCAAATATCTGTATGTAGGCCTTGTCTCTTTTATCAGAAACATGTCTACACAGAGAAAAGATGAATCCCCATTTATAGAAAAATTATTTCTCAGACTAGTCTCTCTCTTTTTAAAAAAATATTTATTTTTTAGTTGTAGTTGGACACAACACCTTTATTTCATTTGTTTATTTTTGTGTGTGGTGATGAGGATCGAACCCAGGGTCTCGCACGTGCGAGGCGAGCACTCTACCACTGAGCCACAACCCCACCCCAGACTTAGTCTCTTAAGTAGCAATAAAATATTTTTCCCGTCTTTATTTTGTTTTGATTCTCACTGTTTCTTCCAATTGCTTTCTGACTTGTCTTGTGCCTAGAACTCAAATTTTAGAAAATGTTTAATACTCAGATGAGAGCTCTTGGCAGCGTGTTCAAATGTTGCTATGTGGATGATCAGGAGCTGACATGCAGGGGACCTGGCTGGATATGGTGCGAGGCCTGAGTGCCCCCAGACAGCTGTGCAGCAGTGGCCGCTTTCTGGCAGGCCATCTACCTCCTGCTTATAACACTTGCTTTGATCCCTTATGCATTTTTTGAGTGAAAAATCTCCACACAAATTTCAGTTGAACTAGAAGAACAATGGTTCTGTTCCAATAGAGCAATGCAGAGGAAAAGACTGGGAAAGAGGATTGGTCTGTGTCCCCAGAGACCTTGTCTGTCCCCATTGCTCATGAGAGGCCACTGGGACACCATCCCGACTCTGTCAAAGCCCCCGGAGAGCAAGAGTGGGAACATGCACCCAAGGCCCATGAAAATACATGGAATTGTCTGGAATTACATAGGTATACTCGTTAAAAGAAAAATCTTAGAACAATGTAACTCTAGGCTTCAGAGTTTCAGAAATATGCTCTCTTGGCTGGGAATCCCTTTAAAATTCCCAGAATGTGAGCTTTCCTTACAATGGAACTTTATTGTTAGGATGTAGACAGAACCATTCCCAAACCCCTCCGGTACCTGGTAGGTAATTAGAACCAGGATTCACACAGTGAACACAGACCAGTCTTAGATCATCTTGGTTTATATCATATATTCATTTTTCACATTATATCACACGCATATCAAGTGGTATTCTCCAAAGTATCTTCAATTCAAACTTTAGCCCCAAAGAATGGTTAATACCCATTTCATTTTCTCTTCTGAAGCCGATGCTTCCAGCCCGTTTCTGATGATGCAAGGGTACCACTTCCACCTGTCACACAGTGCCTGGGCACACTCCCACCACCTTCCTAGCTGAAACTTAAGTACTCTTAAAGGGATTCCCAGCCAAGAGAGCATTTTTTTTTTCTGGTGAAAATTTTCATTGTATACTTTTACATTTAGGACTCACTCAAACGACCTATAAGAATAGGATTTATTTGTCTGCTTTTGGTTATGTGGGTAACTATGGACCACTGACAATACTTAGCAAATAAGAATTACTTTGGCTTCTTACTTTTTCCCATCTTACTCTTGTGGAGGCACCTTGACCAGAGAATAAAACTACATGTTAATGGAATTAATTAGAAGTTAAAAACAGAAATTCTATGCCATCCTCCTTCTAGCAAGTGCCTTTTGAAAAGGAGCACACATGTTGCTTCTGGGTACATCCAAAAACTCCCTGTGATTGTCTAAGTTCTTTGAGAAAGTTTTCAAATTAAACATAGACAAATTATTAAGAACATGACCTTGAGAGTCCTCTAGAATATAAATTTAAATCGTGGGTTTTCCCCTTATCCCCTTTATTTATCATTACTCTTGAGCAAAGGGGCTAATAGCCCCTTAACACATTAACTCTATGCCAAAAATTACATGGTAATTGTAACATGCTTAGAACACAGAGTAAACATGACAAATGATTGATTATTCTTGCCACTCTTATCTAGAACTTCTAATCTCTCAGTGTACATGGAACTCTAAACCATTGATGTTTCCCTAGCACACAATGGGCAAAATGTTATCTGAGTAACAGAAAAACCTAGAAACAGAGAAACAAAGCCATCACGGCCAAGGACCCAAGACAAGGCTGAATTTCAGTGATCCATCCCTTTGGTGGATACTATGGCCATTGCTTATTCCAATTTAAATTTGGGTTATTTTTAATGTAAGGAAAAAGTCATCTTCCCCAATGAATATTTCCCTGAATAGCTACCAAAAACCAAAGAAAAATGAAGACAGACTCCTTTCGCATCACATTCAATTAGACAAACACCAAACAGCCAAGGGCGTGGGGTCACACGCCTTTAATCCCAGTGTCCGTGACTCTGACTCCGGAGGGAGGCTGAGGCAGGAGGAGTGCAAATTCCAGGCCAGTTTCAACAATTTAGCAAGCAACTCAGAGAAACCCTGTCTCAACACACACACACACACACACACACACACACACACACACACACACAAATAAAAGGGGCTAGGGATGTGGCTCAGTAGTGTGGCTCCTCTGGGTTCAATCCCTGGGACCGAAATCAAAACCAAAACAAAACACAGAACCAAGATTGACGGGGATGACATAACCTCTACACGGGTGACGCTGTGGCTCTGACGAGGTTTCCCTCCTCTGACCTCACCACGGCGTGTCATTTCTGATCTATGCTGAGTGTTTCCGGTCTTCCAAGGAGCTTTTTTCTGCATCTGACGTGAGTCATCATGTAAATGCCCCTGTCTTCCTGTTCTGCGCCTCAGAGGTGCGAGCCGGGCCAGCAGCCGGTGCTTCTGCAGCTGAGCCCTTCTTCACGGACCTTGGCGCCATCTAGTGTCCCATTGAGGCGCCAGCGGTATGTGGTCCAGGGAATCACTGCCACCTTGCTCACTGCAGTAGCTAAATAGCTACAGCTTATCCACAGGGTCATTCTGCCTTTTCCCCTATGTATCCCTGGGTCTGAAAACTTCACTAAATCCACTGTTGTCCAAAGACACACATCTGGTAAACCAAATGCCAGAATTCGCCTCGCACCTTAGTAAGTGCTCAATCACTGACTGTTTTCTCCTACTGCAGAAATTTGTTGCTACGCTCTTATCGCATGCAGCTGCCACTGTGTAAATATGCTTTCTGAAAATGAGGTTTCCTTATGATCCACTTGAAACCACGGCGTGCTGCTCGCAGTACAGCATGTCCTTTACTGTAGGCAGAGCTCTTGTCACCCCGCCATATTTTTTATTCTTTTTTTTTTTTCAGATTGTCTACAAAGCCTGGCTGTGTTCCCAGTATTTTGAAGTCACACAGTTTAACTGCAGAAAGACAATTCCTTGCAAGCAATACTGTTTGGAGGTTCAGACAAGGTGTCCGTTTATACTGCCCGACAATGATGAAGTCATCTACGGAGGCCTCTCCAGTTTCATCTGCACAGGTAGGCGCGGGCCTGCTCTGCCCGGCGTCTCTCGGGGTTCCTTCTTTTGTGATGTTTCCTTGCTTTGCTGCTTCCTCCCACCCATACAGCCTTGAAGATGCAGCTGGTAATTTTCCATGCTTGCCCAGGTAGAGGCACAGAAAGCACCCCCCCCCCATGATCTGAACACTGTTCAGTGTTTATGCTCCACTGTCTATGCTACCACTGAGTCCACAGTCATGAACTCTGTGAGAGGATAATTCTGCAGGGAACATGTTAGCAATAGTGAGACACTTACATGTGACTAGGAGTGGGCTGGATTCTGCTTGCATTTTCTCTACATTATGTAAGAACAGATGATGGGGAAAGACCGTTAAGGTGATGCTTCTCCAAATTAGCATGTTTATGTTTCCATGTCTATTTTCTAAGAACTTTATGTTATCTTAAGTATCAGTAGCATAACATATCTGTACAAGTTGTTATGTATGTCGTTTGTGTGTTAGAGCTGCACAAGTGCCAGATACAATTTGAGTTTATATTTCCCATTAACAATGTTTACTTGTTTCCGTGGAGGACTGAGAGGGGGAGAAACACCAGCAACTGCATGCATTGTCTGGATATTTATAAGCATTATATAACTTAGAGTAAGATGCAAAGGACAAAAGTGGTTCATTTTTGACAAAAGAAATGATGACTCTACATTGAGAACGAGATATTTGGCCAGAGTGAAGTGAAAATCCAAGTTGTTTCTCTGTATTCTCTTACAGTTGGAAAACATAATATCCTTGTAACTACATGTCTTGACTCATACATACTACGTCTAGTTTTCAAGTTTTAAGGATGAAACACTATCGTAAGAGTAGACAAACATGAAAACTCTATTCTTATCTTAGATTTTAGGAAACTCCTCTTAAACACAGTGATATTGAGAAGCAAATGTGAAATCCATCAAATTATTTCCAGATCTCTTGTGCATTAGCCATATTGTTCTAAGTGCAAGTGACAAGCCAGCAAGAGACAGCCCTGCAGTTCTCCTCCTAAGACCTGCCTGGAGGAATGGATGGGTGTCTCATGTCATCCTGGGGGGAAGGACCCCTGGCTGTAGGTGAGGAGATGTGGGCTGCTTTTTCTCTCATGCATTCTTCCTGTGACGCTACCCTTCCTAGCACATCAGCAAGAGCAATAGCCCTTCCCAACCCATGCCAGTTTGCTCTAAGGGTCACAGATGAGCAGAGCACCCAACAACACACATTGGCAAATGCCCTTGTACCCAAGATGGTGATCTTTGAAATGTCAAATGGTTTAGCAGTTGTTCTTGTTATTCTACGGATTTGATGCTTAGATCATTTTTTATGTGCCTTCTCTGTTGGGGAGAAAATGAGAAAAGAGAGAAAAGGGAGAGAGAAGGAGAGGGAGGGAGAGAGGGAGGAAGGGAGGGAGGGAGGAAGAAGAAGGAAACTAACATCTTTCCCTTTTTCCCCACTTACAATATTATCTTCTTGCCTTCTGAGATCAATTTCACCAGGCACAGGCAATTTTCAATTTATCTTGAGGTTTACATGGAACTTCCCATGAACAGCTGTCAAAATTTGTGGCCCTCAGTTTTTAACTATGGGCCAGGGAGGTGTCAGCGGTGCTAGGACTTTGGGGAAAGGCTCGGTGTCTTGTGGAATGCTGTCTGCTGTCACAGGCACGAGTGTGGCTTTTTCCTGCAGAAGGTCGGCAGCCTGCACCTGGTTCTTAATGTGGACACGAGCCCAGGCAGGGGTGTGGGCGATGCTGTTTATCCTCCATTGTCTCCTCGTCTTCATCCAGATCTGTGGCTCTCAAAGATGCACTTGGACGTTAACCTCCTTTCTCAGACTTTCAAGGCCACCAGAAAGGGAAAGTCAGGATTGCATTTCCCTCCACACAAGGTGGGCCAGAGCACACCTGGAATTTTTAATTGTTTTTAAGTTTTGTAAAAACTTCCTCTCCGTAATCACATCGTTAAGGAACCCCACAGGAAGAGAGAGCTGTGTGGCTGGCTCAGGACACAGTGCCTCCTTCATCTCCGTGGGAGGCCACCCGGGCTCTGCCTATAGGAGCCTCTGGGACTTTGCTGTTCTTCCCCCACTCTCCATGTGGCTTCATTACTGAGCCACTGGAGCTGCACGGTCAACGCCGCAGGCATGTTGCCCTGAAGTTCTGTGAAAGTCTTGGACAGGAAAGATCATGTTTCAGACTGGTCTTCTTTCCTGGAGATGGCCAGGCCTCTGGAGATTCTGTGACCACACAGGATCATCGTGTCCCTGATGAGTGCTCCTCTGTGCACTGCTACCTTGCCAAATGTAGGAGGGTCCCCAGAGAACAGGCTTCGGCTGGAAGAAGTCAGCTCAGAGATGCAGCAGGGCTGGCTGGAGGAGCACCCCGTGCTCAGCATTCGGTCCCAAACTCCAAGTCGCACATTTTTCAGAGGTTCCTCTTCCTAGTGTGCTCAAAGGCTGGGCCACCTGGTCTTCTAAGTATGAGTGGAGGGAGCATGAGCCACTGCAGGCTCCTTAGTGCACAATGGGGGAATCATATTCCCTCCCAACCAACAAGCAGACTCCACACAGGGGGACGATCTTCCCCACCCCCAACTGGCTGCCGACATCCCAGGCCACCTGGGTGGCGGCTCATGGCAGCAGGGCCTACGCACCAGCAGTAGCCCCTTCACTAAACCCGGCTCTGTGGCAGCCATCAAACACGTCCCACACATCCCAGGACGAGGAGTGTGTCAAGCTCATCTTAATCTTTACCTCTGGTAATTTTTTTTTTTTAATAACACAAAAAAGTAAGTGAGGTATTATACTGAAAATTACCATTTATCATCAAGGATTGAAGGCATGGTTGCAGTTTTCTTCAAATTCAACACATTCACTTCAGCCATTTCCTCACTATCTAAAATGCACAGGATTGGCAGCTCCTGGGAGAGACAGCGCCCTGTTTGATGCTGAGGACTCTCAACTTATTCCTTTTGTCAATGTCCCCACTATTGAGTGAGTGCATAATTGTAAGTGTCACTGACAGGTACAAATGATGAACAACCTTGTTCAAGGTGCTTCTCCTTTGTGACAAACCAGTGGTACTGTGACCGCTTCTCCTCAAAGTACTCTGTACCCAGCCTTTTAGGGATATGTCATTGGAGGGACCCCAAGTTCTTCTTCATGTTGTTTTATGAGACATGCTGATACTGGAAATTCCTATCATTTACAAAAGTGAATCTCAGCAACTGCTATTAGTGAACTAGAAGATTCAGACCAGATAAAATTTCTCTAAATAAACAAGTTTCATTCATAATTTTAGTACCTGTTATTAAGTTCAACATTCAGTGTACCCTTTCTTTATAATGTGTATGTGACAGACCCATGTGCTAAATGTCCAAGTTCAGAATTTATTTTGATCATCCATTACTATATGTGACTGTGATCCTCAGTAAACCCATACCTTATTAAGA